GCATTACTTCTACATTTCCTCGTAAACCCCCATTTGTATTAAGTGATATACATTTTGTTGTATTACCATGATTAGGAACCACTGGGAATGAGCTTATCTACCACCCTCTGCTCGTAATACATGTGCCTTAATTCCACTCTGATATGATTTTCTCATGTTGATTTTCAATAAAGTCTCCTTTGATATCATTGCTCTTTCACTTATAGTCGAATGCATTTTTCGAGGGCTCGTTGAAGCACATCCAGTCTGAATTTTGCTTTGTTTGGTTCTTCCTCTCTCTTTCTTCACATTGCACAATACGCCGACGAACGCGACTAGGTGGTTTAGGATCCAGGAATGGTCTGTTTTCGTTAATTTATTCCAGCTGCGCGTGCCTTAATTATCTTTTTCACTAACTTCAAACAATATCAAATGCTCCGGGTACCAGCCGACTCATAGACTTGACCTATCCAGATGCAAACAGGAATGAGCAAAGAACAAGAGAGTTGTTGCTTGCCGGTCAGATTTTTGAGAATCCTTGGATGTTCCGCTATGAAGCGGTACGGGTCAATTTGTATCAATCACTTGGACTGGCTTACGTAGGATTCTAAGATAGGTACCATTACCACCATCACCACTACCTCCAAAGAGCAAAGGGGTGTAGAGCTTTTCTGCATTGGGCATCAAACAACACCTCAGTTTATGCTGATTTAACACATCATAGTTTAGGCGCCACTGGTAATTAGGATCCAAATATTAAATACCGCCGAAGAAGATAAAAAGGACTGAAAACATTCAGTAAGTTTCTTTTTATACAACGTGAAAGAATGTCTCACAGGATTTGTAATTTCAGCGCCAATCTATTCAGACGTACCTCTGTACTCTCATATGACCCAACTCACTTGTGCCAATTTTCCGAAAAAAGGGTTTCATTGGAAATAACACCAAACTCTGCTCACGATAGAAAGAGTTCTGAGCCTCGACAATATTTTCATTTAGGAAGATCGATTCTCGCGGGTCGTGTTCTGGGACTTACCCAAAGTTTTCGCCACACCAAGAGGGTGATTATGACTATCACACAGAACAAGAGTAACAAATATTCCAGTGCGATTCCGTGCATGCCTCCGGATACATGTAGTTCTGTGGGGAATAAACGGTCAATCGAAAGTCATTACAACGCTTAAATGAACAACACATAAATGGGGAACAAAAACTACATTTCCAGTGAACGAGCAATTTAGAGTTGAGAAAAATGAGGATTGTCGTAAGTTATATACGCTGAGAGATATGGCTCAAAATAGAAGTCAGTGGTGTGGA